CAACTCATCTCTTAAGTTACAATGGGGCACTCTTTCCTTTTATACAGAGATTGAGCTAGGTTAAGCTAGAGTAGCCTCGGTCGATCCTCTAACACTTGTCAGGCATCCGATTCAACCTTATAGACACAGATTTGACCGTCCGTACGCCTTGCTGTCTCCATTGCTTTCTTCCTTTGCTCTGTATTTCTTCCTTTGTCGTGACTCGATGAAGTTGAAGAGAACCGTTGGCGTTTTGTCTTTTCTTCTGATTCAAATCCCTTAATGGGCTGTTCGTCTTGGCCCAAATCAGCTTTAGTCAGATTTGACCCATTCCTCAATCCGGTGTCGTTTTGATCTTGTGTAACCGCAACACTAGTCATGTGAGAGTGAATTTATAGAGCTCCAGTCTCATGCAGAAGCCTCTGGTCGAAATGCCAAACTCCTGCAAAGACAGATTAATAGAAAGCTTAGAAAAACTTTTAAGTCTTAGAACTCAAATCTCAATATATACTCACCACTTATTTTGCAATGACCGCGGAAAATCATGACCAAGAACAAGAACCAAGTTCCTAACTGTATATATTGAGATAAACGAGATATTATCTGCCATGGCCTTTCTCAGTCGAGCGGCATAGGCCAAGCTTCAAACCATCCTCCATCAATAGCTTCGTATGCTGGAATAAAGACCATATATTCTATATTTCCAACTGGTCTAAAAGAAACAAAAGACGCATGTAGACATTCGAGTTTTTGCATCTATAATAATTCAATTGTGTGAATATAATGCTAACATAAGTAACATACTTCATCGAAGCAAACACACGATGCCAATCTGTGTCATCTTATAACTGGTCAATTTTATGTTTATTTTAAAAATATAATTATGTAATGAAATTATATAAAAAATATTCAAATATATATTATTAAAGAACCCACAATAAGAGTTTACTATTAAACATGTTCTCATATGATTTTTGGACAGAGTTCAAGCCAACTCTAATATGAAGAGATTTTTAGTGGATTTAGGACGTACAGAACTTTGATATATTGATACTGGCGTAATTTTCTGAAGCATATAAAGGTATGTATAGAAGGCTTATTTGTTAACGTGATATAATTGTAGGCAATATTGCAATATTGAAAAAATGTTGTTATTCTCTTGTTTTTGTTTGTGTTTATTTCCTGTAAAAAAATTTGGAGGATGATGAGATGATAGGAGTGGAGTTGTTGCTTTCTTATAATTTTGGGTTAGCTGAGGATTGTATTTAACTGGAACCTCACGTTTCGTTTAGAACAATATTCAACTAATTTGTTACTTATTACTCCCTTAATAATCCTTTCACTTTTCTTGTACGTTTGTCATTTCAGTATGGACCTGTTTCTAAAAAAAAAAATAGGCCCATTATTAAACCTCCCCTGTTTTGTATGGAGCTATACTGTACAGTGTACACCACTCCCTTCGTAATGGCGGTAGTAGTACTAGTTACCTGAGCTCTAGGGTTAATTCATTTGCTTCATTATAAACTACTGAATCCAAAATTCACCTGACATCGAAACCTCTCAGTCTTTCTCGTCTTCAAAAACCAATCCTGAAGTTCTGTTAATAGGGAAAATGAAGAGGAAGATGATAGATACGTGGACCAATGACAAGAAGACACGTGGCAGTAGGCGGGGAGGGGGGGGGGGGGTTGCAAAAGATTGTTGATTGGTTTATATTTCTTCTTTCTGTGGGATTTTCCAGATTGTAATCTCATTGATTTGTTTCTCTCATCGAGGGATTAACAAGATGAGTTTGAATCTTTGTTTCTTGTAAACATTGGTTTGATCGGTGAACAATACACATACAAAGTTTCGTTTTAATCAAGTTCTCGTTACAGTTTCTTGCAGCTTGCTTTGCTTGTTTGAAGAGATGTATCTCTACAGTCTTACTCTGCAACAGGCGACCGAAATCATCTCCGCCATCAACGGCGGGAGACGCAGGAGATTGCGGTTGCTCGTGGGAAGATCCAATCGTCCTGACGAGAACGGTAAGATCCAGACGATACACTCTGTTCAAGTATTTGGTGCCATTAGATCTTTAGCTCAATTTAGGTTGACTTGTGCGCAGAAGGATTATATCGTGGTTGGTTCAGATTCGGGTAAGATTGTTATGCTTGAGTACAACAAGGAGAAGAATGTGTTTGATGAAGTCAGCAGCCTTTTGAGAAGTCAGGTTGCCGAGGAATTGTACCAGGCCAGTACTTGGCTGTTGATCCCTAAGGGAGAGCAGTAATGGTAGGAGCATGCGACAGCAGAAGCTTGTATATATCTTGAACAGAGAGAGATACTGCTGCTAAATTAACCATTTCTTTTCNTTTGGAGGCTCCCAAGTCTCATACCATTTGCTATTCTGTCTGCGGTGTGGACTTTGGCTTCGATAACCAGATATTTGCAGCCATTGAGCTTGACTACTCTGAGGCAGATCAGGAACCAGCTGGTCAGGCCGCAAATGAAGCATTTGACTTTCTATGAACTTGAATTTAGGGCTCAACCATGTCTCTAGAAAATGGTCAGAACCGGTTGACAACGATGCCAATATGCTTGTTACTGTTCCTGGAGGAGCTCATGGGCCGAGCGGAGTTTTGATTTGCGCTGAGACTTTTGTTATTTCTAAGAACAACGCCATCCAGATGTGAGAGCCCTGATTCCTAGACGAGCAGATTTTTGTCGGCTAAAATAGGGGTTTTGGTAGTTTCTGCTGCCACTCACAAGGAAAAAAAAAACCATGCTTTTCTTTCTGACACAGACCAAGTATGGCCATGTTTTAAAGGTTTCTCTGAATCATGATGCCGATCATGTCTCAGAGCTAAAAATCAAATATTTTGACACAATTCCTTTCGCTGCATCTATATGTGTGTTGAAGCTGAGATTTCTTTTCAGAATTTGGTAACCATGGTTTGTATCAGCTTCAGGCGATTGGGGAGGAACCTGATGTAGAGTCTCCATCCTCTAGTCTGATGGAGTCTGAAGAGGGTTTTCATCCCGTCTTTTTTTCAGCCTAGATGACTTACCAAGTCGAGAGTCTGATGCCGCTCATGGGCATGAAAATCCTAAACCTTTTTGAGGAAGAAACCCCTCAGATATTTTCACTTTGTGGACGGGGTCCACGCTCCTCTCTAATAAGGATACTCAGGCCCGGTTTGGCCATCAACGANATGGCTGTCTCTCAGCTTCCNGGTCAGCCAAGTGCTGTGTNGACGGTGAAAAAGAATGTGAGTGATGAGTTTCATGCGTATATCGTTGTTTCTTTTACCAATGCTACTCTTGTTCTTTCGATTGGTGAAACCGCTGAAGAGGTTAATGACAGTGGGTTTCTTGATACTACCCCTTCCTTGGCTGTCTCTCTCTGATCGGTGATGATTCTCTCATGCAAGTCCATCCCAATGGTATTCGCCACATAAGGGAAGATGGGCGCATCAATGAATGGATGCCAAAAAATCGATTGTTAAAGTTGGGTATAATCGGCTTCAAGTGGTCATTGCATTGAGTGGGGGAGAGCTTATACACTTTGAGGCAGATATGACTGGCCAGCTGATGGAGGTGGAGAAACATGAAATGTCAGGAGATGTGGCTTGCCTGCACATTGCTCCTGTTCCTGAAGGAAGTCAGAGATCTCGCTTTCTTGCTCTGGGGTCTTACGATAATCTGGTGCGCATTTTATCTTTGGATCCAGATGACTGTCTGCAGAGTCTCGGCTATTCTTAAAAGTTCAAGCATCAATTGGTGGAGAGGATGGTGCTGATCACCTGGCGAGTCTCTTCCTTAACTCAGGTTCACAGAACGGTGTTCTATTCAGAACAGTGGTGGATATGGTGACTAGCCAACTTTCTGATTTTCGTACTCGGTTCTTGGGGATGAAGCCTCCCAAGTTATTCTCCATTTCTGTGAGAGGTCGGTCTGCGATGATGTGTTTGTCTAGTCGACCTTGGCTTTATTACATTCATCAGGGACACTTCCACTTGACGCCTCTTTCTTCTGAGACTTTGGAATTTACTGCCCCCTTTCATCTGATCAGTGTGTTGAAGGTGTGGTATCTGTTGCNGGGGATGCTCTGAGAATCTTCATGGTTGATCTTCTTGGGAAAACGTTCAAGGAAACTATGGTTCCTCCGGGGTACACGCCTAGAAAGTTTGTTGTCCAACCCAAGCAAAAGCTGTTGGTCATTATCGAGACTGACCATGGAGCATTCACCGCAGAAGAGCGTGAAGCGGTGAGAAAGAAATGCTTTCGAGGCAGGTGGAGCGGGAGAAACTGGGAAATGCAATGGAGATCAGATGATGGATAATGGTGCGGATGATGAAGATAAGGAAGACCCCTCTCTCTGATGAACAATATGGCTATCCCAAAGCCGAGTCAGAAAAGTGGGTTTCTTACACCAGAGTTCTTGATCCTAAGACGGCTGCGACAACTTGTCTCCTGGAACTTCTGGAAAACGAAGCTGCTGTACGGTGAATTTCCATGACAAAGAGAGTATGGTACTCTGTTGGTTGTTGGCAAGGTCAAGGGGATGCAGTTCTGGTCCAAAAAGAATCTGGTGGCTGCGTTCACACATATCTATAGGATTTGTGGACGAAGGGAAATCTCTTGAGCTTCTTCACAAGACGCAAGTAGAAGGTGTTTGCTCTCTACCAGTTCCAAGGAAGACTGCTGGCGGACATCGGACCCGTACTCAGATTGTATGATTTGGGGAAAAAGAGGCTGCTTAGGAAATGTGAAAACAAGCACTTTCCAAACACCATTATCTCTATCCAAACTTACCGTGACCGTATTTACGTTGGTGACCGTATGTACACCTTTTTTTTATATTATTTGTTATTACTTGAGCTGTTCTTAACATGCATACCTTATCTTGGCCTTTTGCTAGCTGCAGTCTATCCATTACTGTAAATACAGGCCCGACGAGAACCAGCTATACATACTTGCGGATGACTGCGTGCCGAGGTGGCTGACAGCATCGCACCATGTGGATTTCGCAGGCGAAGACAAGTTTGGGAATGTGTACTTTGTGCGGTCGCCTCAGGACGTGTCGGAGGAGATAGAAGAAGACCCGACAGGCGGGAAAATCAAGTGGGAGCAAGGAAAGCTGAATGGAGCACCAAACAAAGCGGACGAGATAGTGCAGTTCCATGTCGGGGACGTAGTAACGTGCTTGCAGAAAGCTTTGATGATCCCGGGAAGAACGGAATCGATCATGTAAGTAACAGTGATGGGTAGCATAGGAGCATTGCATGCATTCACATCCCATACGATGTCGACTTCTTTTCTCATCTGGAGATGCACATGATGCAGGAGTATCCTCCTCTCTGTGGGAGAGACCACATGGCTTACCGATCTGCATATTTTTCGGTCAAGGTAAANCCCATTTCTCTCCTCCAATGTCATCATACCTCTCTTGTTGTTTTCGAATGACATTTGTTGCATCTGAGATGGAGATTTGTGTGAGCAGTTTCCGACGCTGCCAATGGATTTGCAGCGGAAATAAGCAGAAGACTTGGATAGAACACCTGCAGAGATTCTGAAGAAGCTCGAAGACGCTAGTAATATCATTTAGCTAGCATAAAATCTGAGTTATTTCTTGAAGTGGACAAGGTAGAGTAGAGAGAGCTTATGATATTTTTATAGAGAGCTTTGTCTTCAATGGTTGTAAACTCTTCTGGAAGTTTTGATGAATCAATCCGGACACAATTACTTTGTTCTTCTTCATTACT